CAAGCAAGCAATCATACAACAGCGTATTAAAAACACTAAAAGCCTTCTGAACTCCCACCAAACAAATATCAAACCAATCTCCCACAACAGACACACGGACCATCTCAACCCGTGCAGCTGTGCTACCAAATAACTTCAAACACTTCTGTAAACATCTTCCACCCTCACCGCGCACCTCACCCTAAAATTATTCAACACATCAGAACATAGAACACTTGGACACTACACACACACAAGAAACAAACGCCATGATACCACATACAGTCTAGACTCAGCAAGACCTCCTCCCAAGAACTCGACACATATCCTTTCACCAACACAGACATAAAACTCTCCTCAGACACCTTCCTCCCAAGCTCCTGTGCCTCTGCCTAAACCATATTCTCCTAAACCCATTCCTCTGTAACTCTAATCATTTACACCCACACAAACCTCCTCAATGCCTCCCTTCCCTCTGATAACTTTCCCTTCCCTCTTCAAGCTGCTACTTGCTATCCTCCTACCAAAACCCAATAAAGACCACTCTACTCTAAAACTTTTCGCCCTTTCAGCAGCCTCCCTCGAAACTAAGGAAAACTCTTTGAAAAACTCATAATCATCGCCTTCGTACCTGGAACACAAATTCTCCTACTTTCTGATGCCAGCTTTGCTTCAGAACACACAATCCACACAGGACGCCATTAACAACATTCTCAACTACATCCACATAAACACAAAAACAACAACAAAAAAAAACAGGACAGCCCTGGTTGCAAAAGACTTGAAAAAGCTTTTGGATGACACTGTCTGGCACGAAGGGCCAAGACAAACTCTGCACTAAACATTAACCTGCCTCCCACTACGCGTAAACATCCTCTGCAATACTTCCTAGACGCCGTACCATGAGAATAAAATTCCAAGGCTGTTATTCAGACTACTTCACACTAAATGCTGGAGTACCCCAGGGATCTGTCCTCTCCCCTACCCTCTACATTTTATACACTAACGACATTCCAACACATGTATACCACAACTCCATCACACTAGCCTATGCAGACGACATTACACAACTTATCACTCATGCCAATATAGATACACTCACACAATAAACACAAAATGAGGTCGACAGGATAGCCATCTGGAAACAAAAATGGAGGATCAAAACAATGCAGCTAAAATCCAGCATTACGTATTTTAACTACAGGAAACGTGATCCTCCACTACCTGTCGAGCTCAGAACAGCTGACACCCGCACTTAAATCCCCATCACACAATCTCTCACTGTCCTCGGCGTTAATCTTGACTACCTTCTTCGTTTACACGGACACATTGATCACTTCTAACATTCGTTAGAAGTGATCAAGGTTCCAGGACCGAGGCGTTTTCTAATAGGTGTGTTATGGGTTTTGCTTACGTGTCTTTCTAAACCAACTTGTCGGTATTACCAAGGTTTTACCATATATATATATATATATATATATATATATATATTTATATATATATATATATATATATATATATTATATATATATTTTATATATGTATATGTATATGTACATATGGTTTAGAAAGACACGTAAGCAAGTACTATGACTGTTTGTTAGAAAACGTTTCGGTCCTGCGACCTTGATCACTTCTAAATACAGAGGTAGAAAGACATTATATATATAGGCGGAGTAGTGAGATGTGACGCACGTGACCTGAGGAATGTCATAAGAACATAAGAATGGAGGAACACTGTAGAAGGCCTACTGGCCCATGCGAGGCAGGTCTTTATCAAAACAACCTCTACCTATGATGAGGACGGGTAGACGATGAAATCTATGTGACTCCTGTGTTGTTGGTTGGTGCTGCTTAAGTATCATGTATGCCAAGTTTTTGAAATTTTGTAGTTTCCAGTGTTGCGTTCTATAGTGTCGGTGACGGCGATTAGTGAGGCTTCTGGCACTTCTAACATACAGAGGTAGAAAGGCATTATATATGGTGACCTGTACTTAACTCAGTGGTGACCTGTATTTAACTCAGTGGTGACCTGTACTTAACTCAGTGGTGACCTGTACTTGACTCTGTGAAGAAGTGTCTTGTGTACTCCCGTGGACTGAACCGAGATGCCCTCCATCGAGCAACTTTACCTGCAACTTAAGGAGGAATTGAGGGTGGCGAAGATGAAGATACGGCGATTGACCGAGGAGGGAAGGAGGATTCGTGGTAGTCCTCCTGTTTCGAGTCCTCAGGTCGAGAGGGGATCGTGGTCAGTGGCTGGACAGCAGGGGACAACGAAGTTGACGATCAAGAAGACGAATGGAAAGCCAGAAACGATGAAGAAGAAATAGACTGCTGTTGAAACTCCTGTGGAAACCTCCAACGCATTCTCGGTGCTACCCGACGAATGTGAGTCGACTACTGGGATCGTCACGACGAACGACAACAAGGAAGGTGAGAATATTGTTGTTGTTGGGGATAGCCAGGTTAGATACATGGATAGGGCATTCTGCTTGAGGGACGGGAGTGGGAGGCGGAGGGTATGCTTTCCTGGGGCTGGGATGGAGGACGTTGTTAGCCGGCTTGACAACATCATGAACGGTAATGGGATCAATCCTATTATTTGCTTGGGTGCTGGAGGCAGTGAAGTAGGCAAGCGTAGAAGTGAGGATTTAGTTAGAAAGTTCAGGACAGCTATAGACATAATTAGGAAGAAGGGGGGGCGCCCTGTTATGTGTGGCATTTTGCCAAGAGGAGGTGTTGGTAATGAATGGTTGTCCAGAGCAGTTGGTGTTAATTGTTGGCTGGATAAACACTGTAAGGATGGTGCAGTACCATTCATTGACAACTGGGACAACTTCTATGGCCGAAATGACATGTATGCCAGGGATGGGATTCACTTATCTAGGGCAGGTGTGGGTTTTCTTGCTAACTATGTTCTTATGTATCATTGGGTTCGGGAGTTATTTCTTGGGTAGCTTCAGGTAGAGATCGTTTTGATAAGGACCTGCCTCGCATGGGCCAGTAGGCCTTCTGCAGTGTTCCTCCATTCTTATGTTCTTATGTTCTTATGTTCAAGGCATGCAATAGCTAGTAAGGCCCTTGCGGGCCTCTACAAGCTGAAACATGCCTCTCAACGCACCAAACTACACCTCTACAAATCCCTAATACGTCCTCTGATAACTTACTCTCCTCTAGCCCTCTCTCTTGCAGCAAAAACAAACTTACTTAAACTGCAGCGTGTCCAGAACAAGGCGCTGCGCTGGGTGCTTGATGTCAGATGGGAGGACTTCGCCACAAGCGAGTCTCTCCATGCCCAATTAGACATCCCTGCGCTGAATCTGTACTGGAAGACACTCAGTAACAAGACAGATAG